AATATGTATTAGAACTTTCTGAAGACATGCTTTGAATTTTTAAGTTACTAGAACTACAAGCTGAGGGTTGCTTGCAGCTAAGCTTAGAGATAAGAGTACTGTGTTTTGACTTCACAGAAGAACTGAATTTAGAATATACACACATGCACACGCACTGTTTCTGTGTTTGAGAAAAAGCCTTTCCAAGAACAGATTTGAGAACACTAAAGATAGTTACTGTCCTTCCCTGTCAGTCAGGCTCAGTGGGTCCACCTCTTGGTAGTATGACTACTACTATAGGTCACTTTTTAGCACAAGTTGTGGTTTAGAAATAAAACCTTATCATCCTGTAAAATCTTCACTCTAAAGACCGCTTATGTTTTCTTATTGAGGAAGTGACTTGTTAGATACAGAAGTACCTTATACCGCATCTAAATAGGAAAAAAACCCAACAAACCCAGATTCCACCCTGCAGAATTCCACAGATAGTCCTGTTCATTAGTCCAGAAATACTTCAGTGGCTTCAAAATAATGCATTTTAATGTGGAAATGTTAAGATAACTCCTTCAAACAGATTCTCTGTACAGTATTCAGTGCTCTTCTTGCTCTTATTTGGTAGCACTGAGACAATGATACTCAAAATACTGAGGGGGGTGGAATCAGTCTATCTGAATTTTAATTTTCCAATTTCTACTCACTGTAGTGAAATACTAATACTCACTGAGTAGAAATAACTATCATTAGTATAGTAATTATTATTTTAATAATAGTTTTAAAAATGGACCGCTGACATTTTTGTGTTATTTTTGCAGAGACTCACTATATAATACCAAGTAATGTATGATAAAGTGGTCTCAGGGGGTTTTGTCAGATGGTTTTACACCCTAGAATTTTTCTACTGCATAGCTTTAAAGAATGCTACCACTTACCAAAATGATGATCTAAATTTCTCGCACAAATACTGTGAGTTTTTTTGGGAGGACGTATGGGGAGTGGGAATTACAGTTCTGTTATGATGCTGTGTTTTCTTCCTTGCCTCAGTAATTATTTTACATGTTATCAGAAAAGAGTGGTTTATAGAAATCTCTGCACATTGATTACTTGGTGGTTGGTTGACATTTTTTTTGGTTTTTTGTGTTTGTGTTTTTTTTAAGTAGAAAAACATTTCAAGTATTTCCAAAATAATATAAATGAATCTTTCTTTTTAGCCTCTTCTGAAGCAGTCACCCTGGAGCAATCAGAGTAGCGGCTGGAGCACAGGAAATATATCCTGGGGAGGAATGCATGGCAGAGACCATCGCAGAACTGGAAACATGGGAATTCCAGGAACTATGAACCAGATCTCTCCTTTAAAGAAGCCCTTTTCTGGTAATGTCATAGCTCCTCCTAAATTTACTCGCTCCACTCCATCACTGACACCAAAATCGTGGATTGAAGATAATGTTTTCCGAACTGACAACAACAGTAATACTCTCCTTCCTTTGCAGGTAAGGATGGTATGTAACTGGCATGTTCGTACTCTTGCATAGCATTTTGGCTTCATTCATTTTAAGAGAGAATTAAACAGTGGTTACAGCCCTGTGACTTGGTTTGAAAATTTGATATGTCTATATTATTTAGTCCTAAGTTGCAACTAACCCCAACATTTTCAGTGTGTTCAGCAATGTATGATTCTCATAGTTAAGAATATTCACTGTGAAGGAAGGTAGAAACTGTAAGCACTGATGCAGCATTAGAGCAAAATATGTTTAGTCCACAAAGTATTTTCTGCCTGTGGTAATGCTTGTATTCTTATAAATCCCTTTAGAACTCAGGATTTTTTTGTTCGCTTGGCCTTGTACATAGGTTTTCTTACTTTTGTAGATGGCTCTGAGTCTTTGTCCTGTTCATCTTTTAGTGCTATTCTGGGCTGACATTTGCATGTTAGTGAGATTTGGGGTTTTGTCCACATTCTAGCATCTTTTGTATTATGTTTTGGCTGGAAGCCCTGTGATTTAGAAGTGTTAAACAGGAGGATGTGTCTTAGAACTAAAGATTCACCTTCTGAATTTTGACAGTGACATCTTATGTGACTTTAGGCAACTCACCTCCAGCCTCAGTTACCTCTTGGTAAAGTGCTTGGGGGTTTTTTTCCATTCCTGCCTATGTTCATTTAGTCATAACATTTCTTGTTAGCAGAGACCTCTGTTATTTTGGATCCCAATCTCAGATGCCATTTTAACAACTTACAGGTGTTGCATTCTTCTGTTTTTATTACAGAAAAAGCTTGGCCAACTTATTTTAGAAATGATGCATTTGAAAATAGAAAGCAGATTATTCCACTAATTCTTTACTTTTTGTCACACCTGTCAGCTTCATTTTTTGTCTCACACTGAGCTAACTATATTCCCGCAAAAGTAAAAAAGCTAATATGCAGAGAAAAAAAATAGAATGTTTCTTTATCTCCACATAACGCTCTTATAGTTGTTTTTTGTTAGGTTTCACGCAGAGTAACTTAGAGTTTCATTTGTCATAATTGTGACCACTTTTGCGTTTGTACAGCTGTATTTGCATCAATTAGCAAGCTAATCCTTATGTAGCTGTAATAGTGGCAAAAAGATGCTCCCTGGGACCAGATTTTTCCCACTGGAGTTCCTATATTTCTTACAGTTTTGCTGGTGGAGTTCCATTTGGCACAAGAGGCCATGTCCCGGCTCTGTCCAGGTGAGCTCTGATACTTGCAGTATACTTGAGGCTAATGATGACTCTTGGACATACCTAAATTCTGCTCCAAGTGTATGCATTGGACCTGAAAACTTAAAAGAGGATTTGCTTGTACGGTGAAGACCCGTTCCATTAAGTAGCCTTGTTAGCTGGGGTATCATAGTTGAGTAATTTTTGTGGGGGATGGAAAGATGGGGAAGAAAGGTGCTGTTCTTCATTCAGCTGATCTGTTAAGGCAGACTACAGATGAGTGATACTTTGTGGTGGAGGGCTCCAAGAACAGTTGAAAGTAAACACTGAAGTGTCTCCCAAAGATGTTAGCCTAAGGAACAGGGTTAAAAGTATTAATGATGTCATGCGTTGAAACTGCAGTGACGTATACATTGGAATTCATATGCAGCTAAGCACAAGTTGTGAATATATTTACCCACTCAATACGCCTTGCAAGTCAGTATGACTAGTGCTTTGAACTTTAAGAAGCTTCTGCAGTGGTCATCTAATACAAATGAACTCATTCTATGTCTAAACGAGAATCTTATGCATTCAAACTACAAGTAATTTCTAAGTAGAATAGGAAAAAAATACTTGCAGTTTAACTTTATAATAAATCACATTAATGTTTCTGTTTGGGGGTTGTTTTTTTTGAAGAGATATGTCATAGTGAGAAGGTGGGCACACTTAATTCCTATAAGCACCAGAGCCACCAGTTAAATAGACCTGTTTGCCTATAGTTATGCTGTATATCAATCTGTGCTTAAATCTTCCTTACATGTATAAAATCATAGTTACAGAACACAGTAAAAATAATCCTCTTTGAAGGGTTGCGGTGTTATGCACTGCTGTTGTGGAAATGCTGTATGTTTCCATAAATTACTTTGCTACACTGAATCATGTTCTTTTTTTTTCAGTTATTATACTATTGTTATATGGTTAATTCCTTGTGATGACTGTAGCATTTTGGAAGTCATAATGAAAAAGTTAAATAGAGCTTGGAGCTCGTGCTTCTTTTCATCAGGACTTGTGTTGGCAATTGCAATGCTGTCAAACACCCATCTTGCTAATTTGTACTGAGCCTGTCTCCTTCCATAAAAGGCTGAGGTATTTAGATTGAAGAGTCTTAAAGATACAGTAGCAATTTCAGAAGATACTAAAAAAATAGCAGTAATCTAATTTTGTACCGTTTGGAAGATCTTGCACAAAACCATTTACGTGTACATAAAAGTTAACTATTTCTCCAAGCTTCCACAGAGCGACCACATCGTAGCATGCATGTTGCATACATACTGCAGCATTCACAGATTTGCAGAATACTTTTCCGCATGATCACGCGTCTTTGTTTTAACTGCAGTAATAATTTTGTATGGCAGGGGACAAAGCACCTCTCCTCCAAACTTTAGCTAGCTCAAGCTTAGCGGATGAAAACAGCTTAGAAAAGCCACTGTCTTCACTGAATAACTCTCTGTAGATCATTAATGTTCTGCTACCGTATTTTTAAAATGCTGTATATTTTTTTGCCAAGTCCCAACGGTGTTCAGCAGTGTCAGCTGCTCGTGCAGTTTCTGTAAAACATGTACCTGGTGCAAACAAGAAAAGTCACAGAGGAATCTTGCACAAATTCAAAGCTTTTCTTTTCCATGAAACTTCTTTATTCTTTGGTGTTTGCATTGGTGGATGGTCCCCAGTATAGAACTGGCATAAATCCTGTTGAAAATAATGTTTCTTGGCATTAAACTAACATACCAGTGACAATGAATGTCATTACTGATAACTGAATAAGTAATTATGTGTATTACTTAAAGGGATGGAAGAAGATTTTCTGTACTTCATGGTTAAAATTGAAACATATCCTATGTGAAGTTGAATTTGCAGTGGCCACATTAGTTACAGCAAAGCTGCTTTTTTGTTTTGTTTTTAAATAAAAGTAGTTAAACATCATGGCAACACTGATTTAAACGTGAGCAAATTAAGCCAATAGGCAAGATTTTCTTAGACTCACTGCAAGAAGCTCAGGTTTTTAAGATAACACAAACTACATCAATTGAAGTTCTTTCATAGACAAAATTATGTCTACAAGTTTAAGTTCTTCCAGGCTGCTTGCACAATTATAGGTATTTCATATAGGGAAGGGATTGTTGCCTTGTACTGGAATCAGTAAGGAACAATTAGAAATCTTGTCAGGTATTCACACCATCTAACTTAAGCATTTAATTGAGGAGCCTATTTCTCTCTCCTTAGAGAGAATCTAGGCTCCTTACTTAGATAATCTAATTCTCTAGAAGAACATACCTGGCACCACTGACCTTAAACAGCCCCTGGGATTCCAGCTCAGGCACTTAGATTGCATGTTGAAAAGTTAAACAATATGAATATTCTCTTTTATTCCCTAATCTAAAGTACAAAAATAAATTAATATAGGGTGCAAAGCTGAAAATGTATTTCTAACCCCAGATACTGTGGGGGTTTTTTCCCCCACAAAATATGCTTTAGGCATTTCTGTGGCCAAAATGAAAGCACAGAAATCAGTGTTTTGTATGTTCATTTTTTTTCTTTTAAGTTCCTTGGATGAGGAAGAAATTAGCCATTTCTACATTTTTTTTTTTAAATTGCACTGTTTGCTAACCCTATTTTGATTGCAAGCTTAACATTTTTTAATATCTTGCAAGTAAGCTAATTAAAAACTATTAAAACAGTTTAATAATACACTTCAGTGTTATAAATTTCAGAGTTTGACTATTTTCATTTTAATAAAACCCACTGCATTCTATAAATATGAATTTAGTTTCTGTGTCTCTTTTGAGTTAAGGAAATAAACTGCATGTCTGGGTGTTTTTCACCTTGATTTGTCCTTCCTGTTTGTTCAAACAAACCGTACGTGCAGTGTTTGTGGTCCCAAAAGCCGAGCTTTATTCTACGTTTGAATATAGCTCGCTAGCTGGGGTTTTGTATAGTAAGGTACCATCTCTCACAAATGCAGATTTTTCTTTTTCTATTCATTTTTTAAATGTGCTAAAGTTCTCAAAGAAAACAAAACACTTGCAAAGCAAAATGAGTTTTAAGATTGTACATCACAACAGGTGTAAGTTTTAGATATCTAATTTAAACTGCTGTCATGTTCCTTCTGTCTTACAGTCCCTTCCATTCGGAGATTTCAGATTTTCAACATGACAGTTTTAGTACAGTTTAATAAATGTACCTTAACAGTTTAAACGGCTAATCCAGATGATACACATACCAGTCAATATTAGATGAACAGCAAGTTGCTAAAGATGGGTTCTTAATGCCATATTTAGACTCCTAAATACGTGGCCTGTTTCTTCAGAACTGTTGAGTGTTTGGCAGCTCTTGTTAAACTTGAAGGCACTGGGAGTATCTAGCTGCTAGGTTCTTTTTTTGTTTTCACACTAGTGTGATTGTGCAAACACTGATTTATAAGCCAGGCTTCACCAGTTTATTTTTACTAAGGCAATACTTGCAGCAGAACAGTGTCTTCGGGATTTTTAATGCAGTAGATTGATTACCTGGGGCTGAGTAAATAACATACAAAATGAGATATTTGTGTCTGAGGACTGTACGGGGATATCTCTAAGAGGATAAAGCAGTCTACTGCTGTACTTTTAATTTCAGGATCAAGACCTCTGGATAAGTAGTATTGGGAGCTGCACAGGTATATGATTCAAAGGATTCAGTTAGCGGAAAGTTTGTGGGTCTTACCATGCAAATGTTTTTATGACTCTTCATGAACAGAGAATTCTCTCCCACTGTTAAAATTTGCTTCAGTTATACA